CCGAACAACCTTCCCCAGCACCGAAAAACGTTTGGAAGCTCCGTACAATCCATCTCCCGAGAAGACGAACATGAAAAGTTCACCCGAACCTAGGGCCCAACCGGCCCTAAACTGCTTGCATACAGGCTCTCTAACCCCACGGCTCTAAGGCCCATGGCAAGATCGTTGCAGCCCTGCCGCTGCGACCTAGGTATGCAGGACAGTGGAAGGCCATAGATTTATGGTTTGAGGGTTTGGGCTTTAAGGTCAGGCTTAGGATAATCGGTTTTTGGCCTTGGGCTTGGAATTCAGGGCCTGAGGGTGTATCTCGTAGTTCCAAACTACTGAGGATGTCTGGCAGAGAAGTTGAAGGGCAAGTTGGAGGAAAGGTACAGCGATGCGTACGTCTTGCATTTTTCGTGTCCTCCGAAAGGCCATACCCCGATAAAGCAAGCTGGGTGATGTCATGAATGCAGGGTTGTTAGGTCTTCGAGGACTCCGTGCGCGTGTGTCTATACGTGTGTCTAGAGCAAAAGAGTGAGAGAGAGAGAGAGAGACCTTCTTTGGAACATTGGTTATTGCGTGTTTGTATGCGTTGTTGGTACCAGCAATAACAAGCTAAGTTCATAGACCTGACCAGCCATCTGACATTTTTGCAGACCTCTAAAATGCTCGAAGGCCTCGCCAGTGGACGCAGTTTTCAGGCATTGCGACCTGGATACCGTTAGCCTACGAGGAACTACCACAATCCATTTTTCTGCATGGCCCCTCGATAGACTTTATTTTACCATTTCTGTTAAGACCCCACCAAAAACCATTGCGGTAGCCCTTTATACAGTTGATCGGATCCTAGAGCCCTGGCCCCAGCAGTTTGATGGAAAGGCAGAGCTGCTGCCCGTTCCGCGGCCTTCACGAGGCCAGATGCTACAACCTCAGCGACTTGGCCCAACTTTCATTTTGATGTTTGAGGTGTAGAGTCAAGGCTCTCAGCCCTTGAACCCCTGGCTGAGTAAGGATTCAGGATTTAGGCTAATTAGGTCTCAGACACAAGATTCAGAGCCCTTCACGAGCTACTAATAAAACGAAAGCTGGAAGCTCTCGCCCTTCGTGCTTTGGGCTTATACAGGCACCTGTACACTGTCAGTCCGCTGGGTCTCTTTCACTTAGTCCCTGCCAGGAATCAATATCGAGGCAAACCTTTCTTGCACCTGCCCGCTCCGTAACGGCACCTGTTCTGGTTCCATGTACATAAGTGGATGAGAAGTAGGAACATCAACACAGAGGGATCCGCGAGAGAGGTTCAAGTTTTTGCAACAAGACCGTTCGCTGGGAGCACTGATGCAAGATGTTAACCCGAGGCCCTATGTAAATCCTGAACCCCGAACCCACGGGCTGCTCCTGTCCTCAAGAACCGCATTGGCATCGCATTACGTACTTTCGTGCAAGCGTGTTCGATGAATTGCCACTTTTCTATGCACGTTGGGTCTTTGGTCTGGTATTCAAGAACTCAAGAACTGTAGTTTGACCCAAATCTGAACAAGTCCAAGTGAAAGTGTTCTTGAAATCGAGCTATACTGGAGTTACAAGAGTCTCGCAGTAGTCTGTCCCTGATAGGCACGCAAATGCCTCGAACAATAGGTCGTAGCCGTAGCCACTTTGTCCGGCGTGCGTTTCAAAGTGACCCCAAGCCAGAAGACAAGCTGAGAGAGCAAGCCCGCCTTTAGACCCTGTGATGTACGCACCAAGTTTTAATTCGAGGCCGAGGCCCTATGCCGGAAGGACTCCGCCAGCTTGTTGCGTTTCTGGCATGCACTGCGTTTATCAGAGTTTGCAGCGCTCAGCTTTCCGGAGCTTGGGGAGTTGTGACTTTTGCTTTAGAATGATAGGGTTCAGGGTTGCATCGACTTGCAAGAGAGTAGGTGGCACAAGCAGGTTGGATCACGGCCATGTGGGCATTGAGATTTAGGGAGAAACTTTTAGGGTGAGCTTGAGACAAACATGTTGATGCACGACTGTCCCATGCAGCCTTCCGGCCTTTCGGCGTTGTGAACATGGTGCAGTATTGATTTAAGGGTTCCGGGTTAAGGGGCTGTATTTAGGGTCAGCCTTGACCTTGATACACATCGCATTCTGTTATCGACTTCCCAGTTTCCCTAGAGTCTTTGCTGTACCTGTGCTTATACTACGCATGTCAACTTTCGGCTTCAGCACAAGCACACCATCCTTGTCGAAGCATCCGTGCAACGAGTTTTCTGGACCTTTCTAGACCCCGTGAAGCGCGCTCCTTTATTCTGTTCAATTCCCCAAAAACCCCAAGGCCTGAACTCTAAATTGGGCTCTATCTTGGTCCCTACGACGAGCTCTACCTTGGCCATCTTTAGGAGACACGCACGGATTCGGAGGAACAAGGAGCTCAACAAAACTGACCTCACACCACCAACCCAGCCCCCCGCAGAAAAGATCAGCCACACGAAGAGAGGATGCCCGTGCGCAGCCTGGGCGCAGCTGGCAGTGCAGGCTGCCGGGTGCCTGTCATTGGAAGAGGCTGTATGAGAGTAGCAGCATGCAGAGCTTAGCGGCGCAGCAGAGCTGTTAGCGCTGATAGGGATGATGGCATTTTAGGGTTCAGCGGTTATGAGGTTGAGTGGAATGTTCTTACCCTTCAGCTACTAGGTCGTTCATGCCTGCGTAGGATCTGCCGCTGCGCCGTACTCGAAAGAGCTGCGCTTGCTGCTGCACGCTGGAAGCTTACAGCGCATTCGAAACCGGACACCCTTGAGGCGAGTCGTTGTGGGGGCAGCTGTACAGTTCAGATTGCCCCGTGGAAGAGGAGTTGGGCGACGGTAGGGTTGCAGCATATCCTATTATCATTTGCCCTCGATCCACCCCAAATCATGAATCCTATGCGTAGGTTAAGTTGAATCTAAGCCATAAACTCCGAAACCATACAGACAGAACCAGTCCCACAAGTTGTTGGGTGCTCTTCATGAGCCAGACATTCCTTTCTGCAGCTTGGCAACCAACACCTTCATCCGCACGGAGGTTTTAAGCCTTTCAGCCGCACCTCAACCGCGATGCATGTAGCGCGTTGGTGTCGTGCTACGGTTGGTACATTTCAAGCGGCCCTGAGCCTACACCCATAGGCTCAGCGAGGTCTTGCATACAGCAACTGCTGGGAGCCCGTCATCGGTGTGCGAAAACATCGAGGGCTTCGGCAGCCATTTGCAGGGAGCTCGGTTTTCATGCGAGACTCTCGTGTTTAGGGCTTCATTTGAGCGTCTTTTGGGTTCTAGTCTTAGTGGTTTAATGCTTGCGGTTTTAGAGTTTCTAGTTTTCAAGCTCTACAAGGCTTATGCAGGAGGCTTGAGCTTAAGCTCAGGCGGTTTGGTTTGGTCGAGTTAGGAACCCCCCAGAGGCACCCCCGAATGCTCACTCCAGACACTGGTCGAGCTTGAGACATGCACCTCCAGCAAAACTTCAAAAGTAGACCCTCAAGCCTCGCAGCTTCAACCATGGGCCATAGACTAGGCATTCCACACCCCAAGGCCCGAAGATCTTAAACGAAGATCCTAAACCTGAAACCCCGAACCGAAAACCCAACCCAACCTGCCTCTGAGGTTGGGCCAGTCGCGATCCTGGCTGAAATTGGCCGGAGGCAACAAGGCTCGCACACCTGGGGTCAGGTCTGAGATGCGGGTGTTGGGTTTTCGGGTTTACCAACCGCCTTATCAGTCGGATTTCAGGGTAAGGTTCACAAGTCGCAGAAGCATTTGTTTCATAGTTATCCGCTGTGCGGCCGCGGCATAAGACATCACGGCAGGTTAGCAGCACGCCGGATTCTTCTGATTTCGCGCCAACACTCGCATCTTCCACAGCTCAAAGCTACCAAAAGGCTGACAGAGCCCTTGCCTGTTTGCAGTGTCGGGTTCCGGTTCCTAGAGGAAGCACGAACCAGCTCTGATTTGTCTTGCAGCTCCGGTGGAATTCAGTACGAATCGAAACGTTCATCGTACTTATTGCATCTCAACAGACGTAATTGAGCCCCAAACCTCGGCTGTACCCACTAATCAAAGTAAATAGAGCCTTAGTTCCCACAAGCCCTCGAGCCCTTAAAGCCTAATTGTTGATTTTCGGGCTTTGGCACTTCGGCCCCACCCTGATAGGTAAAGTGGCGCTGGGCTAGACGATGCATCGAAGTTGCGGAACAAGCTATGCAGTTGTATAGGGTAGCCGCTCTTTCAGTACAGCACTATCCATATGCATGACCAAAGCAGGACTTTTGGCAACGGGACTTCAGGATTCAATCTTTTGATCTCGCTCCCTTTTCAGACGGCAAGGCTCCAATTTTGACTTGTGCATCACAAGCTGCACCACCGCAGACCTCCGTCGGATACTCAGGAGATGTGGGAGTTACCCCTTGGAGCATGGTTTGTGCGTTAGGTTCTTCAGGTTCAGCACGCAGGAGATTCTGAGGGATTTGCGAGGTCAGGATGCGGAGACCTGCTTTCCACATGGTTCAGGGCTTCGAGTCGCATGCTGCAGGCATGGTGTTGAGTACTTATCGTTTTGTAATTGTCGTGCCAGCGGCATGCCCGGCCGGAAACCTTCAGAAGCTAAAGGCCCATAAATGTACAACCCAGAACCAAAAGCCGAAACCCAAATAGAAAAGAAAAGCTCAACACCTCAAACACCAAAATGGAAGGTCCCAAAGCGCATGGAGATTCTTCCCAGTTGGATGTTCGCATAGACCGCAATGAATTCACAAGGTCCCCTAGGTCCCCTCTCGTCCGAGCGCTGGCCGTGAGTCGTTGTTCAGTTGATAGCAGCTGGATGTGATGACCTTTGAGTTCATGGCCAGGGGTTGGGAATTACGATGCTGCCGTTGTTTGCTGGTGCTGGCAAGTGGTGATGATGATCATCGGCATTACCTTCCCGGTAGCGTTCGCAGTCTTGGCGAACTACAGAAAGCCTCAGGAACCCTAAAGTCCTAAAGCCCAATCTGTACTCCCCGAGCTGACAAGGTGCTGGAGATCGGCACATACTGCGGCCCGGGGGCCTGGGTCGTGCTGTTTCAGGTTCGCTTTAGGGCTCTGCGGCTTCGGACTGACATGCCATGGGGGACAGGGATCTGAGAAAGTTCTCAGGCTTCATGAGGTCTGAGGCAGTGTTGAGGTTGCGGAAAGTCTAAAGTCTGAGACAGTAGGTTGCAAAGACCGACAGAGAAGAAACGCTGTAGGCTCAGTGTAAGCTGACCCCGAGTCGGACCCCCACAGCCTAGACATAATTGCATTGAACCTGACGAACCCTGGCCCATATGGCCTCTGCTACCATCTTCTTTAGATTCTGACTCACATTGAAGCTTTGCGAAACAGGTGTATCCTAAACTCCTAAACTTCCTAAGCCCTCGGCCCTAGGCTACTCCTCGTTGCGGCTGGCTCTCGCTGTCCCTGGGGCGAAGATCGCCACGGCGGACGTCGTGCTGGCCTCAAACAACTTTTTCTGTGGCACTGCTGACGTTAAAATTACGCAGTTGCCACATGGGTAGTACTGTCCTTGGTCTGCGTCTACGACCACTTCTAATCTACGAGTAGTGCGCACCACTGCTGCTACTGCCACTGCTACTCCTGCTCCTACTCCTACTCCTACTCCTACTCCTACTCCTACTACTACTACCACTACTACTACTACTACTCCTCCTCCTCCTGCTGCTGCGGCTGCCGCTGCTGCTGCTGCTGCTACTACTACGACTACTACTGCTGCTGCTACTACTACTACTACTACC